TTCATCAATTTTCCTAGCACTCTTTCTCAAGTGATAAACTTGACTGTTGGACCAACTATATCTGCTTTGCATGGGCCATGCTATGCAAACTGAACTAGCTCAAATAAAATAATCACTGTTACGGTATATGTATATTTTTAGACATTTCATCACCAAGATGCTTGATTTTTGATAATGCAGAGAAGCATCACATGTTATGCAACTCACAGCATTGGTGATGTTAAGGTGGCACAGTGTTGCAGTGCTATGGAGATCTCTGCAGGTGACAAACAGTACTGAATGTTTAGGCCTGTCAAACCATGAAGAGTTTACACTGATATTGCAGTATTTTTTACTACAATCTTTTCAAGTCGAGATAGTGCTGGTACTACTTTTGGTGTTTTTGGCAAAACAATTCAGGTAGTACTGGTCCAACTGCTGCGCTCAAAGTGTTAAGGAACTGAAGACTGCCACTAAGCTGTTTTGTTGATATGTAAACAGGACTTGGACCCAGCATCAAAAATGAAATATTGGCAAGCATTAGTTGCATTTCGGAAAAATGAAATGGCTGATGGACTTGAATGTTCTGTGTTATCATACACAGACATCCAGGAGTGTATAGATGTCATCAACCACCAGTATGATGAGAACAACATGTGTAAGTTTTGAAAAAATCATTTCTGTATATTCACAGAAGTGCTGAACATAATTTTAATTCATTTAAATGGCCTTCAAACCTTGTCATTAAATTGTTACATGTGTCCATATTGGATTCACTATTGTTTAGTAAAATCAAATATGTGATAATTTTCAGTGATATTGGCCTTACACGATTTAAACACTGCAGTAGAAGGAAAAGACCTGAAAGCCATGTTAAGGGCTTTACAAAATCCTGGATTCAAAGTTGTGGAATGTATTTCTTCCACTGATGCTGTGTTGTACTTCAGACATTTGCTTGTACGTATCAGACATTTACACATTCCTTTTAATATTAGTATTGCATTAGTATCACAAGCAAGAAATGGGTCTAAAAGAACGTTAAATGACACTGCATAACTACTAACTCTTAGTAGAGTACTCTCCCAATTATCTGGCATGCTGTTGCATTAGGCACACTCCTACAGGAACCCAATACAAAGTTGAAACTACACATTTTTACTTTAGTTCTTGTGGGTGTCTAAGTGATTGAATTTAGCTGTTTGTAACAAACCCAACAGAGTAGGCTCCTCCCATCCTTCACCTAAGGATAGAAGCAAACCCAATATCTGAAACGCTGTGTTCCTTAGAATACTGGATGAAGGACAAAGTCTGAAAACTAAGTAATCCTAAGTACTTAGTTTTTGTAGTTTTTGTATACTTGGCATTGGTTGGTTTGATAATATAAAACAGTCTTTGTTGCTTGTGATTTTCATATTATGAGAGGTAAGAATGTTTGGGTCATTGTTGCAGAGTATTATTTTGTGTTATGTGTTTATATTAGTTGTTCTTCTCTTTATTAAATTTTATTTTTTGTACTTATATTGTTGCTATGAAATATTTTTCTGTTACAATTACTGTATCAAGTCTGATTCTTTGAAAATCTAAAATGCACTAATTTGCTGAGAACTTTTGTTTTTCTTGCCATATACATTTAATTAGAGACATGCTGTTGACAGTTATTTAAATCATTGTTCTGTAAAACAGTCTGCCCCCCCTTGTTTAAAAGTGTCATGAGCTCACAATGTTGCATTCTTTGTGTTTCTCATTTGGGTACAAATTTCTGGAACAGCACGGCTGGACACAGAAACGGAAGGAAGGCACAGTATTATGGTTAGAGGATGTACAGTCTGCAGTCAAGCAGGTGTCTGATGAAATCCATGGTGCTAGAGTTGGTATGTCATTAAGTCACAATACTTTCATGTCTCTGAATGTTGATTTATTAAGAAAAAATGCTGAGTAATATTACTGTGATTGTGTGTGGAGTGTTGTAGTTTGCTTTATGACACTGTCAGCAGCTCAGACTATACAGCTGTGAATATTAGAATGAATAATGAATATTAAATTGAACCAGTGGGTGTTATGAACAGGACTTGAGGGAAAAGTGGTTCTGAAATCACCACATCGAGTAGTGAGGAAGGTCACTCAGATCCATCAGAGAGGGAGAGGCAACAGAACTTAGTCTGGGCCCTCAGGAATTGTGAGAAAAATGACTCTTTCTAGGACTGCAGCAGATTGAAAGTGAGAAAAACCCCTTTTTCTGTCTCCTCACCCCTCCCATGAAAGGATTAAGAATTACATACTTTATATGTGTGCAGTTCAAAGTAATTATTTATGTATATATGTAGCTTGTGAGCTGCTTATGAAGATGAAGACTCTGCAGGATAGTAACCAGCCATCAAGAAAAACGTCTGTTAGTGCAGCAAAGATGGGTATTCATGAGAACAAACATGACCCTAAATTCATCTCTGCTCTTGAAGAATGGTGTTTGAAGAAGGTGTGCTATCTTTGAATTTATATTGCATTAATAATATCTTACATGTAATGTATGTACCAAGTGTATGTTTTGTGTAGTGTACATGATATTCAGCTCAGGTGGTTAGATATGTCTTATTTGTGGAGTCATCAATTAAGTACAATGCAGACTATGTGATTTGCGGTAGGCAGTACTCCCCCCAGATATTTGAATTTTCTCCTTCCAATCACTATTCCACCAATGAATGTTCCATATTCATTACCTCTGAGGCATGCAATAAGCATGATCAACTGCCTGGAGGTTTTGTTTCTTCTTTACCGCTATGCATTTTGTATCATGATTCTTTTCATGCTGTAACTTGAAATCAGTGAGGGCCAAGATCAGCACCAGAACTAGTATTATGTAGAATTCAAGAGTAATTATACATGTGAGATTACATTACTAAATACTTGATATTGTGGCCTCTTGAACTCACGGCACTTCATGCTTTTGGAGCAGGTTGCTCCCCATATTGATTGCTTACTCTTTGCCTCAACAGCCCTTGAGATCTCTTGACCTTGTATGCAACAGATGCCCATTCTTCAGCATTATTTTCCTTCTTGTGTCTCTTAACTTTCAGCTCTCATGTCAGTCTCTCCATCTTACAGCCTTCTTATCTGGGTCTTCCCATTTTTCTTTGACTCAAATAAACTTGGGACATCCCAAGCAGTGTGATGTAAATTATTTTGAGCCTTCATTAGTTTTGGAACTCTGATCACCCCTTGAATAGAATTACCGAAAGGTGTTTGGTCCCTGCTCTGGCAGGCAAGGGATCTCTCCTCTCCGCTGTCTCCTTGTACCAATTTGTTGATAGTTCTCAGTTTATGTTTTGTACATTAGTTAATTGGTGGGATGTTCCTATTTTGTAATTACAATTGTAGGACACTGGATTCCTTTGCCCATGGATTATTCATCGTACAAGAAATGGAAGTGAATTCTATATGAACTTGGAGCTGTGTACTTACTCATGGGAGAAGCCAGCTGACTTTCTGTCTAAATCAGATTACTTGGCTCAAAAGCAAATTGAGGTAAGATAATCTGTTATCTGATTTTCACATTGTATGTGTAGGAGGACCGAGTAACTGTTGGTCTAATGGTGGGAGGGTTTTATATTATCAGCACTGAACCTTCAAGTTCTCCTATCAGAGAATTTGCTGGTCATTCACCCAAATGCAAGAGAGGTCATTGTTCCAAATTGAAACATATTCTGTAACTGTAAAAAATTGTTACTGGTTTGATTTGTTAACGTGGCTTATTTTAAGGGTATATTATTTAAATCTGAGGGCAGTAGATCAGAAACATCTGGAAAGTTTCGAAATGTGGTGTTGGAGAAGGATGGAGAAGATCAGTTGGACCGATTATGTGAGAAATGAAGAAGTGTTAATTAGAGTCAGTGAGCAGAGGAATATCCTACACGAAATAAGAAAANCAGTGTATGGCAAACCCCCTGTGAATCAAGAGCTTGCAGGATTAGAGTTCCACTGTATATTTATTTCATTCTGTGCATTATTTTGTCTTTCAGAATATGAGAGTAGAGAAATGGTTGGTAGAACTTCAGGCAAGATGTAGGGGATATTTACTGAGGAAACAAGTCTGGGATAGATTAGAATTCTTCTATCAGCACACTGACACGATCATTAAAATTCAGGTAAGCGGGTGAATAAGACAATTGTTCATTTCAAAATGCAGATCATTGAGAAGTTTATATTGTAATATTTGTCATTATTTGGAACAGTTATTGTCTGTCAGTAGCTACTCATGATCTTGATTGTCTTGACACTACTGTATCCTCTTCTTGCACTTCATCACTGTCAGCATTGAACTCACATGCTGCTCCTTGTCTGTTCCTCTCAGAACTGTTGGTACATAACTGTGTTGCTTGGCATCTTGTCTCATGCTGTCTTCATCCTTGCCTTGCAACCACATATTTATGGCTGCAGCCATTCTAGTAGTTTTCTCATGGCTTCTCAGCTACTCCTTGACGTGGAGGGGAGAGTCTTAGTGTTTCCCAATGGAGATGCTTGCGCACACCTCCCCAGTGCTCACCTCACCCAGCAACATTGTTGGATACTGCTGTGAATATATCCACCAGTGTAAAATATATTTCTTTCTGCTCAGTGTTGTAAGTGTCTATGCATTCTATTTCAGAATGTGTGTTCCCTATATTTATGAGAATAACTGTTTTTGTTTTTTGGCCTACTTTCCTTATTTAAAAAAAAATGAAAGCCTTATTAGGTCACTTGTGTATCCCTCCTGTGGGATAGCCTCCCTGGCAACCTTCATGCATGCCAACCTCCAGAAGTGCCTGCATACAAGTATTGTGGCATCTAGACTTGTTGCTAGGCAATGGCCGTGAAACAAACAAGTAGACAATAGCTGTTACTAGGAAATTGTCCATAACAGCAACAGAGGAACAGTGTTTTCTGTGTGGTCCATGCTAAGATGTTATAAACAAGACATTTATTAAGGAGTGAATGCAGTTGAGTGAGTTGGTTGTTGGGTGACTGAGTTAGTCAGCGAATTAGTTAGAGAACTGCTGGGGTTCAGCTGTGAGAAGCTGGTAGCTGAGGCCAGGGACAGTTTGGGAACCCAGATGAAGGGGCATATCTGTCATTGAAGCCGCTACCAAGCAATGGTGAGTGAAGAAGTGACTTTGGGCACTATTGTGTGCAGTAGTGAACTGTAAAGTGTAGTCATGCGCTGTATCAGAGTCCAATAAATCCAGTGATCAATCCAAAACCCATCAATAGTCACTCTATCATTTGACAGTATAGATTAGAGATTGTAATTAAAATGGATTTTAAAGGAATAAGGTGGGGGTAATGACTGGATTCATCTGTCTCAGGATAGAGACAAGTGGTGGGCTCTTCTGAACACAGTCATAAAACTTCAGGTTCCATTAAAATGCTGGGAATGTCTTGAGTGGCTGAGCAAGGGTTGGCTTCTCAGCAAGGACCAAGCTCCAGGGAATTACTGTGAAACCTCGATTTTTCTCTTCTTAAGGGACCTCCTAAAGCAAATTTAAATGGAGGAAAGTGTAAAATCAAGGAAATACAAATATTCAACACAAAGAAAACTTTTTTCTTCTATACCCTTACTTAAGCGGCCTCCATGGTCTAGGGGTAACGTTCCCACCTCATGGCTCAAGGTACACAGGTTCAAACCCAGCTGAGGTCGTGGAATTTTTAAGGTCGGAAAAATTCAGGGAACAAGTCCTCCGGGAGGGACTTTAAGTCATGGGTCCTGTGTCAAAGATTTATGGCACGTAAAAGATCCTCATGTCTCTAGGAGACCTCTGAGCAAAATTAGGCAAAGTTTCCCGCCCAAGTAGTTTCCAATGCCTCTGGTAGATGGGGAAGTTATCGGGTACCACTGCCAGCCTCGCTGGCTGAACGGGGCTGATAGCGAGCACCAGTACCGGCAGGGTATGACTACTGGTAGAATATCAAAGGGAGATGTACAATAGACTATTAGTCACGGTGCATGGGGAAACCCACCCCCTCCAATAATAATAATAATAATATACCCTTATTTACTTACTTATGGAGCTGAGCCCTTCTTGAGGAGAAGCCAAATCTGCAGCTACTCAAGAATTTCCCAGCATTTTATGGAACCTGAAAGTTCATTACTGTGTTCACAAGAGCCCTCCGCTGGTCCCTATCCTGAGTCAGTTCAATCCAATCCATACCGTCCCATCCCATCTCTCTATGATCCATTTTAATATTTCCACCCACCTACGCCTTGGTCTTCCCAATGGTCTCTTTCCTTCTGGCTTTCCCACCAATATCCTATATGCATTCCTTTCTTTATACCCTAACTTCAGAAAATCATTTAAAATATATATGTTTCAACACTAACAATGTAAATGAAAATGAAAATATTTTTCTTGGTTTATTTTACAATGCTTTATCAACTGCTGTGTTTACATAATATTGGTCAAATGAGGTGGTGATGTAACTTGTGGAAGGAAACAATCATAGCCTCTTTTGAGGCACTGCCCTAGCATTTGCTTGCAATGATGGGCAAATCTGGTACATATGTAGTTACACTATTTCTTTATCCAGTCAGTGTTTTGTTTCTTTTCTCCTTGAGGTCTCAGTCTGTATAATTCATTTTCAACTTTGTTGCCCATGACAGTACTATTGTTCTTGAAGTCAAACTGCCATATGTATTGTACACTCTAGCTGCTTCCAGTCCCTTTGGTGCATCCAGGAATGCTACTTTGTCTTCTATAACTTCCTCTTCTTCCATTTTTGACTAATTTGATTGAGGTACTTTATGATTTTTGTTAGTCTGTCAAAGTGAATGCTAAGATTGTACCTTTAAATAGACCATGACCACTTCCACTTCAGAAGTTATTCATTATAACCTGTTTTTTTATGATAGGCATGGTGGCGATCAGTTGTTCAGAGACAGAAATACATAACAATGATAACGGAGCAGCGTGAAAGGAAGTACGCAGAAGCAGAAGTATACAAGAGCATGGTTTGCTTGGATTATTATAAAACACAGGTAAGATTCAGAAATATTTAGAACCATATTTCATCTTGAGTAATCTGAGAAGGTTCACTTTACTTTTAACACTTTTGTAGTTATTTTGATCAAGCTGTCCAATTTCATGCAGTTATTTTTGGATATATATTACAGGCATTGCTCATGGGTCTTGTAGCTTTACTTAATCCTTAGCAATGGCATTTACTGTATTTGCACAAGGCTGACCATCCATTCCAATTCTCGCAGGACAGTCCCAAAATATACTTAAAATCCTGTGTTCCGAAACTGGGTTGAAATGTCCCACAGTCAGCCAAACAAACTCTCTCCATAAGATATAAATGTCAACACTGTTTAGCTGCCACAGTGAGGGCCCGCTATAGCATTATCTGTCCTTTACTATCCATCACGTACTCATTTGCTGGCTGTTATTACTACTCAGTGTTTGCTGGTAGTGAGCAAATTGAAATTAACCTTGCTCTAGTTTTAAGCTAGATTTTACAGGTGTATTTTTTAGTTGTATAATCATCTTACATTTAAGTTTTTACCACTGTGGCAGTGCTTACAGGGTAACGTGATCTTTTCAAAAAAACTTAAGAGAATACGTATTTTCCGTAATGAGTGGTTAGTAAAATATGCATGGTTGAAACAAGTACCTGACAATAACTGAAGGGAATTTTGCAAGGTACATAATGAGTTATTTGCTTATCTCATGGAGGAGGAAATTATATTAAAAAGCATGCTTCTGGAACACTGCACCAACAACTTCATAAATAGGTAGGTCAAAATCATTTGTTATCTACGCATGTGTGAAGGCACTGAGCATTACCATGTATTGTAGCCTGTAGAGCTGTTACTATGTGATGTCCACAAGAGAGATACACCACACCTGTTTCTAGGCAACAGCTTGGTGAATATTTTCCCACAGCAACAAATGGACATGCAACAATAGAGGTGCTGTTGGAAACAGAGTTTTCTACTCAGTTTCTGCCAAGGAGTTATAAGGAAGACAACTGGGGGCGACTGAGTTAGTTCTGTATGTGAGGCTGTGAAGAGAGGGCTTGAATGCATGAAGCTGAAGAATCTCCACTATTAGAAGCCATTACCAAGGAATGGCTGCTGAAGACAGCAAGCTGCAAAAGGCTTAGCTGGTGCTGTGGTGATTTGTGAATTGTAGAGATTAGTGGTGGCGCTGTAATTACTTGTACATACAAGTCATGTGTGTAAGTGGTCAATAAATCCATTCACCAATTCAAACCCCATCCATAGTCACACCCCTAAATTGTGACAGTGTACTAGCATATTTTGATTACAAGAGAGTAGCTGACACCATCAACTTCCAGAATTTGGAAACCACGATATCACTGACAAACTACCATAAATGCTGTTAGCAACAAACAAAATTGCAAATAAATTTCAGAAAGGAAAAATTTAGTGTGGCTTATGTATGAGATATTGTGTATTCCAAATTCTTGACCTAAAAATGCAGGTGCAGCCTATATACTGCACGTGTGAACGATCTTTTCAGTGTGTCACAAGAGACAACTTTCTTTTCCTTTCATATCCCTAAAGAATAACGTGTCTTCTCCATTACATATTTCCTTACATCCTTCACATCATTTGTCAGATGTTATGTTGCTTGTTTCAGGAACATAAGATCATTAAAATTCAAGCAGTTTGGCGTGGGTATAAGTTGCGAAGGATGTTCCTGTCGTTGTTCCACGAACCACAACCTACATTCAAAGTGGTTAGAAGCTTTGTCCATCATCTTGACTTCAACGCAGATGATTATAGGAGAGATCTACAGCTTCAGGTGAAACATTTTTTTTATATAAATTTCGTTTAGCAAACAAAATGTATTATGTATTAATAACTGGTAATTTTAATAAACTATTATAATTAAAGTTATAATTTAGCAGTAACTTAAAAAAAATGTGTCTTGTTAACCATTATTCTAATTTTTAATAATTTGTAATGTTACTTCCCATGTATAGAATGCACTGCGGTTTTTAAATCATTTTTGAGGAAGAAACTGCCAGGAATTCTGTAGTTTGCTCTGTCTGTTACTTGCATAAATGTTTGTAACAGGTCAAGAGTGGAAGGTATACTTTTTCACATATCTCGTTGGCCTTTTATTCGTTTATTGCAGAAATAAGTTTGTTGTGAAGCTAATGATACAGCACAGGAAAATATTTGTCAATGTATATTGTTAAATATTCATCATATCAAAAATATTTTCAATATAAAGCCATAAGTCTGAATGGCCTCTCTGTTTTATATGTGTGCTACATAATTCTTTATGTAATGACCTGTCTCTTTGAGACATTGATAAAGCTCTTTATGAGCTTCATGTAAAGTTTGGGCTTACATCTGAATAATAAAGACTGAAATTAAATACCCCTGACATCCTCAGTACTGATCACCAATACCATTTAGTAGTTTAAGAGGTGAAACATGTGGACAGAGAGATAGACACATGACCTCCCAATTATACACTTTTATGCAAAGAGTGCATAACAGTCATAAATCTGCATCATACTCCAATTTCAGAATCTCAGGGGTCAGGTTGTGCAAACCATCAGACATAACCAGCAGTTAGCCCAACAGTTAGATGCTATGGATGTCAAGATCGGCTTGTTGGTCCACAACAGAATCACATTGCAAGTATGCATCATGAATTCTATGTATTGAAGAAAGCCATAGGAAATGTTTTGGGAAACATATGTATAATATATAAAAGGTATTATGAAAACCTGCTAAGGTGGAAAATGTTCTTTGTATGCCAAAACTTTAACCTGAAGGTTTCTAATTATAACACACTTAAAGCATAATGATGTGATATCCAGATCCTATAAAATTAAGGGTGTGTGGACTGCAGAACTATTGGGAAAATGTTCATTTCTCAGGTGACGAAAACACAAATCCTAACCAGCCACAACATTATAGATGCTGCTGAGGTCTGTTGCCTCAGTGGTCTGAAAAATTTCCACATAAAGAATCATTCTGGACGAGTCGTTATCCTCGTTGTCTGAGCCCATTCCTATTAACAGTCTGTGGCAAGGAAGCCTGGAACTTGCCAGTGGAGTCTTTAACAACATGCACCAAGAGAACAGAAAAAATGGTCTCACACTGTCAATTGTTGTGGTTATTCATGAACAGTTGTAGATAATATTCGGTGTTGAGTGAAATTCATGTCCAACCAGAAACCTTTGTGTAGTTACATAGACCATTAGATTATGACAGATTCATGGGAATGGCCTAAGAAACAGAAAATGGACAAGATTTGAAACTTGGAATGTGAGGACAAATGTAGTGGAAAAGTAGGAAGAGGGTCGCACCATAGCTCAAGTGGTTAGTCGCTGGCTTCCCACCACAGCGGCCTGGTTTCAGTCCCGTGTCTGGTCAAGTGGGATTTGTGGTGGACAAAGTGGCGCTGGGGCGGGTTTTCTCTGAGTAATTCGGTTTCCCCTGCCAATCTTCATTCCACCAATTGTTCCATCATCATAATCACCCGGGGCAGGTACAATAGGCCAATCAATGGCTGCTGTGCCGAGTGGACCCAGTTGGACTCCACCCCCCACTAAGCCAAATTAAGAAAAGAGAATGAGCAATGTGAAACTTACACTTAGAGGGAGTACAGGAAGGAGGGCAGCATTGTGTCAGCAGATGTTACTGTAGATTCCTATGGGAAAGAGAGTGCTAATCGGCATAAAGAGACGGGGATCAGATCAGCATGTAGAGGATACTTGTTGAGTGCTAAAGTGTTGATGTGATGTTATTGTGAGGGGTATCTAAACTGTTCGTGCTGTGCAAGTAACCCCCACACCATTGAGGAACTGAAGAATAAATTTACTGATAATATGCAGGTAATGACTATTAAAGTGTCAGCACTTTTACAAAATTCCACTGTTAAGTTTCAGATGGTTGTACAAGAATAAATGCACAATGAAAATATGTGTACATGAGAAAACTTTATGACTTTAGACAGTTGTCTAGACAGGTTAGTTGTCTCATGTATTTTTCAACAGAGTTCAGGTAGCCCTTGATTTATATGATAGTTGTGTTCCAGAAAAGAGTCACAAAGGGCAAAATCAGGAAAATAGAATATAAGTTTTCCATCTGCCCTTGCATTTATCCTCTACCACCCACATAGTAATGTGTTTACTTCTCCCTGACTCTCTTGATTGGCCAGTAAGAACTATGCATTAAAGTGCATGCTAGTAATTGAAATCAGCTTAATTTAGTGGAGCACATTCAAATGAAATCACATTTTTAAATAGCATATAATGAGTACCTGTAACTTCAACCCCTAAGAAACTATATGAATTTTAAAGTGGAGCGCCCTTTTTTAAAAAAGTTTATACTTGATTGTAGCTTGTCTGAATAGCTGAAAGAAGATATTGAAAAAATATTGTAAAGAGTTCCCAGCCAAATACCCAAAGTGGAATTTCAGCATGCATGTATTCAACTAAATTGTTTGCTTGTTTGACTTACATATGTAATTATGGTATGTTTACTTTGCAGGATGTGGTTAAACATGGTACAAATTTAAGCGAGTTGTCAAAACAGCACCAGTTGACCACAAGCCAAGGTGAAGCCAATGGGAATCGAGGAATAAAAAGTCTGACTAGGGTAGGGCGGAAACTGTTAGATGGATATCAGCACATGTTCTATGCTTTGCAGACTACACCAAGCTATTTGGCCAAACTCATCTTTTGTCTTCCTTTGAGTCGTAGCACAAGATTCTTAGAGACGGTTATATTAACACTGTTCAATTTTGGATCCAACCCACGTGAGGAATATCTTCTCTTGAAGCTGTTCAAGACTGCCCTTGAAGAAGAAATCAGGTATATGAAATACTCAAGTGATCATCCATTATCAGCATCCTGCAGGTCATCTCGCTTTCTTTCATCTTATCATGATGTTTCCTCTCATATTTGTTTCTAGTTCTTGTTGATCAGTTAAAAACTATTATTGTTGCCTTCTTTGCAAAACATGAAACCAAATACCATATTACTTAGAATATAAGACACACATTTTTCCCAATTGAAAAAGTGAGGCGAGCCTTAAATTTGAGGAATTATTCACCAGTCTGCAAACTGTCCACAGGGCAGCAAAAACCACAGTCTTCTAAGAAGAAGTTCAGATTGTTTCCCAGAGATTGGAAGAGAATACATGCTTAGCTGGGATGGATCTGCAGTATTGTTGAAAGTTCACACCTCTTAATTAGGACGTGAATGAATATATGTGCCCATAAAACCAGTTGGTTTAAATGTTACTAATTTGTTTGTTGCCTAAAAATTATTTATTACTTTTATAGGTGTAAATTTACAAAACCATCAGATGCAGTGACTGGAAATCCCCTTGTCCTCAGGATGGTGGTAAATTATTCACGTCAGATGCCCAGTCAGAATGCTCTTAGAGACATTGTTGGACCTCTTATAGTAAAGGTAACCAAATGTAACTTACCTGAACTTTTCCATATGTCTATTCTTTGCATCCTGTTTTGTTATCGAATCGGGATGTAGTGACTGTCTTCACAGCACTTACCAATATGAAACCAGTACAAAATGTTAGAAGTCCTTTAAATTGAGGATGAGGTTATGTGTGGCTTGATGGATGTGTGTATATGTTTCATGTTTCTGAACTGGAATTTCTTGTTGAGCAGCGGGATTGATGTCAAGTGATGGAGAATTGGAGGGTTTAGACTGCTTAGGGGAGAAACTTGCCGTCATAAATCCAAGCAAGTTGGATGAAGTAGTAACACTTTTGCCTTATACTTTGGAGATGCCTGGTTTGAATTTTGGTTGGCACAGCAGCTCTCCTGGCTGTTTTTTATTATTATTATCTTCAGTCTCCAGGCAGATGCCAGGATAGCACCTTAAATTAAACCTCGGCTGTTTCTACATAAATCCCAGTTAATTTTTCATTATAATTCCTGACAATATTAACTACAAATAAAATTGATGTAATGAGGTCTGAACTTTTTCACAGGTGCTGGAAGATAAAACCATATCATTTGAGACAAACCCAGTTGATATTTTCAAATCTTGGAGGAACCAGTTTGAAATGGAAACTGGCAATTCTTCGTAAGTATATAATGGTGTAAAGGTGTGCAAAATATATGAATCTTTGACTGTATTGTAGACACTGATTTTTTTTACATTGTATTATCTTTGAAAACTGCAGCTCATATTTAAAGGAACTTCCAGGTGAATTGATAAAATATGGTGCCTGGACAAGTATTGTCATGTGTATGGGTGACTATAGATGGGGTTCGGATTGATGACTCAATTTATTGACCACTTATACACACAACTCGTAACCACAAGCAAATGTAACAGCCTCACTGGTTTACACACTCTGAAGATCACTGTAACTGCAGCACACATAAAGTCTTCTATGTCTTCACTAGTCGTATCCTGGCATTGTACATTGACAATGTCCTTTACTTACATCCCTACCATCTGGTGAATATCCTGCAACCAACTCATTGCTCCAACTTACTAATTATCCTGGTTGGAACATCTTGGCACGGACCACACAGAAAACACTGTTCCTCTGTTGCTGTTCAATTGTTGCTTATTAGCAACCTGTTGCCTAGCAGTGAGCATTATTTATACATGCTGCAGTATTTTTATGTGATCATAAACAATCATTTTACACAGTATGTTAAATTTCAAGTATGGGCAAAATGACTGTCACAGTTTTTGGTGAGATCTGCCTAGGTGATAATTTGGAAACATATTTTGAGAATTATACTTTTCTCTATTAGATAAATTTTTACACTGTAATCACTGTAATACTGCCCTTATTTTCATGATTCACTAAAATGTAGTACTTGTCCATTTTGATATCAGACCCTTTTTGAATGATAAGCTTTCTTTAAAATATTACAACTCTAAATCCATGTCATTTTATTCCACAGACAGAAGGAGGAAGAGAGAAAGACAGATTTTATTGACAAGTTGATTTGTGATAGTGTTCCCAGCCATTATGATTCTGATGGCTGGGCTAGCTTGCATGCTACTATGCAAAGTGAAGTTAGTTAGTTGGAAATTCTCAGCGTTTAAGACTGAAAAATTGACATTCATTTGGAGATAAAGATTTCTACTTGATTCAATCTCATAAATTCAGATTTCACACATACCTAATTGCCATTCATAAAGGAAAGGAGAGTTATTGTGCATTCCGTAAATTTTTCCATGGAAGGATATGCAGAATGATCTAGGATGACCATAGCCTTCCATTTACTTAGCTGCCTCCCTTCCAAGTTTAGTTATAGAGGTTACACACAAATTAAAATAACAATCGAGTTTGTAGAAACGGTATAATGAATACTTACTGAAAATAAAATATAAGGTACATAAAAGTACAGGCTTGTGAATACATATCGAGTACACGTATATCATACAAACATGACAGTGGTATCTTGTTTCAGTATAGTATTCATTCTTGGTGCAGAGGATGAAAAGAAATATACTAATATTGCAATAAGTATGACTGATCAATATGAGGGCAACAGAGTTGGCTCAGCCAATATCTGTAGTAGTTTTCTACAGGTGTGTCCATATTGAAACAAAGTACTATTATAGCATAAGCTGAATATAACTTACCTAATTTGATCCACCTTCCAGGCACTAAGCCACATAGGACCTCCAGCACCCTTAAAATCCAGAGTTGTCTTTTAGCTGTGTAACATAATACTTTGTTCAGACTCATACTTCTCAGCTACAGAAGCCAAAGGGGAAGAATGAAAATTGCGGGTAGGTAAAGGAAGCTGACCACTATACATTGTGCTTTAGCATTGTGTTCCCCTGCCTTTGTCATGTGCTCAGCACAGACCAACAATGCTAGATTTTCCTCCACATGTGCTGACCTTCATACATGTCTCCACTTATTCGGAACTGATTACTGTAAAAAAGGTGTTACAAACTTATCATACTTCATATGAACTGCTTTAAGTGACCCCCTTCTGCCTTTGAATGTAACTCATGGTTCTGACTTTCATCATTAGAAACTGAAGCAGTTACAGGTGTCATTTAATTCTGGAGAGCTTCGGATTTGAGAAAGTTGTCTTGATGGAACCACCCATAGTTGAAATCAGTGTATCTCTCGCATACTGAACGGAAATACAGTTTGCTGTAAAAGTATCAGGCCAGTGACTTGCAGCACATTTAAAGCACAACACACCCATACTTATACAGTCACTATAATCACAGTGTTGCTGCATTTTCATCTTGTCTTCACTCTGTACAGAACTTGCATGATCACAGGATACAGGCCTCAGCTGGATATGATACTTCCTAGATTGCAGGTTAGGTATGATGGTGAAACAACTCACTATTTTTGGAGAGAGGCTAAAAGAAGTACAAAATTTACATCTGTCCTATAAATATATTTTTAATGTATGCAGTACAAATTTTGCAACTTTTATACACATATTTTTCAGTTTTAATTTTAGCACATTTTAAGATAAGTGTATTTATTTCTGTTTCCTTGAATTATTATAGTATCTTCACATGAAGTTAATGAAATGAGTGTGTAATGGGGAGGTTATGTGCATCCATCTGCAAGCTTCATCTCCAACACTACTCAGCAGATTTTGATGAAATTTAGTGTGGGGGACTATACTAGAAATTGTCAAAGGAATTTGAATGTTGAAGTATGGTTTGTATCAGTTCACTGTGATTCCAAATTTGCTGAAGAATGGCTCGTCGTACAAAGAATTGTTGTATGATAAAATACAGATGTTGTTAAGGTGTACAACTTTTGAAAGAGTAACAATACAGGAATAATTAGAAGCAATTTCTGTCTCTGTGCAGTCGCATTAGCTTTAAAGTAATAGATTTGTAACTAATATAAAGGTCAGTGAAGAATGTGAATAGAGAAGAATATGTTTAAAATGTGTGTACTGTGCCCTGATTTCATGAATTAAAGGAAGAACTGCACAACCATTAACTAAAAGTAATTTTTTATTGCAGTTGTTTTTATTTAGTTAATGTTGTGCAGTTTTGCAGTTGTGTACAATATGCTTTGTCTTGTGCAGAAACTTGCCTTACTCGGTCACGGACGTAGAAGCACTGGCATATGAGGAAATACAAAATAAACTGAACAGTGGCATTAGGAGGCTCCAACATTCTACTCTTCTGTTCCTGCGTCGAATCGTAGAATCACGTCACTTGATGCCATACGGAATGCTGTACATAGCTAAAGTTCTTCGCAATACACTCATGGACAAGTTCTCCAATGCACCAGAAAAGGAGATTTTGAAGGTACAGAGAGAACACTATGCAGTTTCAGGCTAACTTAAGTGTACACAGAGATTCCAAAGAAGACTTTGCAAACTACCTGCAAACATCGTACAGGCAGTGGAAACATACTGTACTGGAATTACAGTGAATCTGCAGCAAACTAAGTGCACCTTGTAACAGTAACTTCATTATTGTGGCAAGAACCACTGGAACTCTCAGTTTCTCAGTGTCGTGCATATGAAAACGCATCACACAAATGTGGGTTTTTTCCTGCACATTTGTCATAGTAAGTGATTTGTAACTAGTCACCACTGTTTCCCTGTAACTTTTTGCACCAACTATGCTTACAGTTTTACTTTCAAAGTTATTTATGACTGGCAGCCCTTAAAAGTCCGATTAACACACTGTCTGACCTACCCTTGTCTAGGTTGCATTCCAGAATTTGTGAGCAATGTAAACTTTCCAAATTTAACCACTGAGAAATGTACTGTGTGGAGTAGAGTGTCTCCCCCACCCTATACACAAATGCATGCACAGGTTTCCTCTGGCATAGGTGGAAGGGTGAGTCACAGACTGTAGATATGCAAATGTATGGTTAAAGTTCTGTCATGTCAAATGTCTGTGTTTCTGATGGCACCAACTGCAAAAATAAAAACAAAGTGGAAGTGCTTGGGCTTGAGTATGAAACTTGAAATAGTATCTGTGTGAAGTAAGCAGGTTGAAAAAAAGCAAATAGGAAGGCAATATGGATGTACTTCAGCACTGTCTATGATACTGAAGAACACAGAGGAAGTATGGTGTGTACTGATACTGTGCTTCTACATGATACCATGCAAAGCTTGCAACTCACAAAACTTGGTTGAGTTTGAGTTTGTAATTTGTAAGTATGCACCCTTTTCCTATTGGCATGGCATGCTTGGGATAATAGATGCATGTTTAATACTTTTTTCCACCCCTTAGTTTTGCGTGCCTGAGGCAAGTGCCTCACTTTCCTCAACCTTGTTATGGCTCTCCTAAATTGTATCATTCATTTGTGGTTCATATATTCTTCCCATAAATTGTTATCCCTGGAAAAGCATGAAGCATAATTTTGAAATAAGACTGCAGAATATAACTGACAGTTTGAATGTTCATTTTGACATCATTTGTTTTGAACAGTGATTCATGCCACACTTCAAGGGATATAACTGTGAAACTGCAACTTGTAAATAACTTGCTGCACATTCAAATTAAAGCTGTAAATTCACCCAAATTTCCATTGTTTATGATTTGTCAAATAGGTGGTGGGTAATCTGATTTATTACAATTACATCAACTCGGCAATTGTGGCTCCAGATGCATTTGATATTATGGATCTGCCACCTGATAGGACACTGTCTAATAACCAACGTCGCAATTTAGCCAGCATTGCGAAGATTCTGCAGTTTGCAGCTTCCAAAAAAGGGGTAAGTTTACTAAGATATGAGTATGTATATATATGCAGAAGTCTTCAAAGGCAACTTCAAATCTCCACTTAGTCTGTGTTTCCATGCAAATTCATGATATGTTTCAAGCACACAGGGCCGTTATCGAGTACATGTTTGTTTAAATTGTTACACTATACTGTAATATCATATAGTCCATTGTTTGAAGTTGCATTATGTATAATGGTATCATCTAATGCGGCAGAATACTCAGATACAATATGAAGCTATGTATTAGCTAAATTACCATTTTTACTCTACTGTAAACAATCAGATGCAGATTTGAGGTTCTCAACAATTTGGCCATCTGTGTTATAATGCCATGTAGTCTGCTGTTTTCTTTGCTTGGCCTATTCTTCAACCCTGCAGATGGAGGTGACATATTCCTCTGAAAAAGCAGTTAACTTTCAGTGGACTACATGGCATCATATGCCAGAGGATAGAACTCTTCAATCATATGCAGTTTGTGAGCATGAGTAACTGCATAATTCCATATTGGCGTTACTACCATATGCTAAGTGACATCTGACAATTGTCACTCCTAAACCCTCTTGTGCCTATAGAGTATTGAAATTCTGGCATTTCCAGCATAATTTTCTTTATTAAATGAAAACAGAGACATTAGAAATATGGAATCTTTATGAAGTTTCATTATTAAAGAATTATTTTCAAAAATATAGAACTGAATAGATTCTATGCAAGTATGGATTTGGAAATGCTCTCATACTGCAGGGTGATTCATATAGAACCGGCCCGACGAAATGAGCTGTAATATAAAATATACCATTCAGATATTAAAGTAATTTACAAATATCTTATCTCTGATTGTGTGCCGTGATCAGAGCAGGTGTTGAAAGTGTCTGCCATTTTCAAGTAGGCACGCCTCCACCCTCATTTGCATATTCACCGTGACTTGCTGAGGTGTTTCCCAGTGATGTTCCTGATTTCAGCCGAAATGTTGTCCTTTAAATCCTGTAACGTACGCGGTTTCTTAGCATATACCCTGTCCTTCAGTAAACCCCAGAGAGAAAAAATCCGGGCTTGTAAGGTCAGGGGATTTGGGGGGCCACATCTTTTTAGAGATGACGCGATCGGGGAAGAAGCTCTCAATCAGTTCCATGGACATGTTGAACGCGTGGCACATCGCTGAATCCTGCTGAAAATAACCCTGTGTAAGTTCCACATCATCCAGCTGCTGCACGAAATCATAAAAAATACGGCAGTATATGGTGCTGTCCACAGTCGTGTCGAAGAAGATTGGTCCAGTGATTCGTAAACCAGAAATGGCCCACCACACACCCACTTTTTGTGGGTGTAGTGGTGATTCAGCAATCTTGTGTGGGTTTTTAGACGCCCAGATCCTAGAACTTTGTGCGTTTACATATCTTGATAGATGGAACCATGCTTCATCACTAAACCAAGTGATATCCAAAATTCTGGGGTTATCATGCACGAATTCCCGAAACCATAAATAGTACCGTACCCGTTTATCTTTATCAACGTCACCCAATTCCTGAACACTGGTGATCTTGTAAGGATGAAGATTCACTTTCTTTGCAGCCCATTGACACGTTGAATAAGAATACCCGGTTTCCTGGCTTAGACGTCATAATGATTTCTTGGGAGACTGCAGTAACCTGGCATTTCTGGGCGGTTTTTACCACGTTCACTTAAAAGTGTTCCTGTCCTTTCCAATTTCTGGCCTGTCACCCAGTACATGCGCACGAGAAACACTCGCTGTTCAACAGTGTACTCCATGACTGTTGCCTGCGCACTGCAGACACGTTTCGGGATTGTCCTTGACCTTGCAGCATAAGGGCTGCCACTTGCTGGATCATGCGCACACCATTGGACTCAGCATGGCCCATGGATTTTTATGTCGTAATTGTGAGCAGTTTTATGCATCACCTGCAGAATTATTAGCAAATTCATAGGGCTGGTTCTATACGATTCACCCTGTAGTACCTCATTGTATTCCTGAGTTTAAAGGTACATCATAGTTACCAGGTATTTGTTCCCCCAGCTTGCTGAATAATATTTGAGTTTTAAGCATATACATAACAGTGACCCTCCCCCGGTTTCTTCATGAAAATGAAAGTAAAGAAACCTTCATTTTGGAATATGGCAATACAGAAGTTCTGCATGGGTTTTCCTCCTTTACATATTTTCCAGTTTGGTGAAGAGTCTAAGCATCTCATGTGTTTGAATTCCTTTATAATTGAATGCCATGAGATCATGAAGACTTTCTTCAGAGAATGCTGCAATGTAGAAGAGCTTGAGGAACATTTTAGTATGCATGAATTCACTGAAGCTACAATGATTTCACGTCCTGTCTTGTACATCAGCCTGCAGGTGTGTTCATCTTTAATGTATTTGTGTTTATACCATATTATTGGAGATATACCCAGTTTGTGAAACAAGCTGCAAGTTGCATGAAAAATTTTGAAATTTTCTATACTGGAAAGAGGTGTTGTTGATTCTGCGATAGAAATCCATTTCATTATTCCATGAAAGTGCTTACAGATTGCAATGTTTTGTCAATAAATGGACATGCTAACGTGTAAGTGTAAGTGCATTTCATATTTCTTGACGTTTGGAGAGAAGAAATGGAGTTGCCGTAGCATTGCGTTCCCCACTTGTGTATAGAAGCAACATTAGGAAACTGATACTGGAACAGGCTACATAGGAATAGAAATTAAGTATTTTGTAAGAGTAAATGAATACATTTTTAATTGAAAATTTATACATATTTTTTTACCTAAGAGCAAGTGTTGCTTTTTTTGACAGTAAGAAATTCACCTTTGTCATAATATTCAAAAACAGTTCTGCATTAAGCATGTTTTTGAGAGTCATCTAGGTTTGTCACTCTTTTTGGGATGTTTATATGCTTTTTTGGGTGAGAGGAATACCTTCTCAGTACCCTCTTCTTTTCTCTATTTTGGCTCCCTGCATACATGCAAAACAGTTGACTTGGTTATGCAGCACACTTCAGCTGTCAGATTCTGGCATTTAGAGAACTCCAGTCTCTTTCACTTTCTTCATACACATTTTCTTAAAGAAATTATACACATTGAAAACTGTTCTGTGAACACTGCATCCATAACTGCTGGAGCAACTACCACCGGTACTCAGATGACAGCTTGACTTTGCCACTTGTACCACAGGGAAAAGACAAACGAATAAGTTATATTCTTTCCTGGTCTTGGGCCCATTGTTTATATTACTGAGACTGAAGTGGGCAGCTGTGTGGTGTGAAATAATACACACCTTGAAATCTTGACAAGATAAACAAAACAAAAAAGAAAGAGGCAGCACCAGTGTTATCTGAGATAGAGTGCCAGCACATTTTAAAATGACACAGATTGCTTGGAAAGTGGAAACAAGCAATTGAGCTCTCTCAAATACAAAAACAATCTTAGTCTGTATCATAAATACGAATATATTGTACAAATGGTATCAAAATCACGACTGCCCAGGATAAATGTAAGCAACAATGAACAAGAAAAATCTAAAAACCCTGAAGTGTTAATCACTTGGGCTAGAAACATGGGGTTTGCTTTTAAATATTCAGCAAAAGATACATGTTTCATCTTGAGTTTATGAGAAATTGGTCCGAGTGTATATGATATATTTGATTTTGAGACTCACAGCAGCAGACTTGAGCTAGGTAACACAGGATATCTCTTACTGTCTGGTACAGTATGAGTGGCCACACCTCTTACATTAAGAGATATGTACCCTGTTGTACAGTGAAATCCCCATTTAAGGTTTGCTGTGGGGACAAGACTTTTGTACCTTAAATTGAAAAAATCTTGAATGGGAGTTACATAAAATTGCCTTAGGTAATGACACTTGATTGTTAATTAGACATGTTTACTTTGATCAAACAAAAATGAACAGATATTACATAAATGTAAGAAAATAATATGCATATCGCTGCAAGCAAAACTTATCATCCTTTGTCCTGGCAGGGCTGGTGTGAAAGCAGCCACTGGGCAGCATATTTTACACCTCCCTTTTGTCATATTGAAATTAATTTCTACTGATCTTTTGTCCATATCATGACAGTAACCTAAACACTGTGCGGTGATTTACAGAGAACTTTAAAGGATTGCAATACATGTCAGATTTGTGTTATTAATTCTAATGACGTTTTGAGAAAGTTGATCTATTACTCACTGGGGAAGGATACTTTTTTGTGCATGCATGTGTGTGTGTAATCTGGGGTGGCAATTAGAAACCAGCCCTAATACATGTCAGATTTGTGTTATTAATTCTAATGACGTTTTGAGAAAGTTGATCTATTACTCACTGGGGAAGGATACTTTTTTGTGCATGCATGTGTGTGTGTAATCTGGGGTGGCAATTAGACACCAGCCCTGATTGTGATTTGGAATTTTCTGTTAATTATTACAGTATTTTGAGAAAGATTATCTTCTTCTTCTTCTTTTCTCTCTTTCTCTCTCCTTTTT